GAGACCATGCAGGAGGTGTTGCATTCAAAAATATGAATTTTTTTACTCTGAATAATTCTTGAAAGGATTTACATGAATTAAGTTAATTGCTTCTCTAGGTTCCAAAATGTTTTCTACTGGACAAAGTTTTCTTCTGAAGATCTAAGATATAAACTTTTCTGTGTCGAAAATTATAGATTATTGCCTGTGAACATATTTCTTGCTGGCTGGCTAACAGGAGGATTCAACTCATTATGAGCTACAGAATAAACTCAGATCTGGTATCAACAATAACTAGATTATGAGTGTGGCTGACCTGTGCATAGGTGCCTTTTCTGTGTTTATTTGACTTCTTTCTCTTCTGGCTGATTGACATTTCCCTCTGGAAAAGAGAGTGCAGAAAGAAGGGCAGCTAATTAATACCTCCAAATTTTGTTTCTATTTCTAACTCATCAGCAGTTTCCCTATTCAGCCACGTTTGGGGAAAAAATTCAAATAGATTCTGATGAACTATTACTGCTAGCCAATTAAGAGTGTTTTTTTTCCTTAAATTAGTTATAACACTGGACAGATTTTATCATTTAAAAAAACATAATTCAAGCCAGTTAATGAGAAATATATCCTCACCTTGAAAACTGTATTCAGTTTTGGTAGCCCCATTCTAAAGCAGACAATAGCAAATGCAGACTGTGTGCACAGAAGAGCAATGCAAATGATTACAGGCGTGAGAGATTTTTCCCTGAGGAAAGCCTGATATTGTTTACATGCAGATGTTAAAATGTACTGGAAAAATACTTAATATACATTAAAATACTTAAATGTACTGAAAGTAGTTAGGCATTCCTATTTCTCCATTCTCACGTACAAAATCCAGAAGAAATTGAATAGGGAAGAAGACTTTATAAATTACAGTGTAAACTTCTTGTAAGCACTAAAATAAGAATTGCTATAAATAATAAATTTGCAATGTTAATGCCTTGTGAGTGCTAAAGTAGTAATTGTTATTAATAATAATAAATTCAAAGCCATTAAAAGAAAATAAAAACTTTCTAATTTTGCTATGCTAATTACATTGGCAGGTTGTAGTTAAAAGGTAAAAGTTTACTGGAATTAAACTAGATTATCAATGCATATGAAAGATAATACCAGATAATTTTGAAAGAACTGTGTAATGATATAAAATTATAGGGAAATTTTATACCCTAATACACTAACCATTGAATTATTAGTTAGCTATTTTTAGAATTTCAAAATGGTTTATTCCTTAATTACTCAATTCATAGCATCTTACATGTTATTCTCAAGCATTTTGTACTTCTTGTTATGTATTAAATTAGGGAGAATATTGTTTGTTCTGAAATGGCAGATCTCATCTGCTCTTAGTCAGTTCTGACGTTATTAAAATTCTGTTCCCCATAGCTAAGATTTATAAATAATATTTGAGTATTTGTTTCTGTTTCCAAGACGTAGGGAGAAATTTCGCATAGATGTTCTACAGGCACTCAGCAATCAGATTTAGAATTTACTTTGTAGATAATACACTGTCGTATTTAAAGTATCTTTTTATGTTCATTTTGTTCCATATGTAAATCATTCTATTTCAAATGGTTATCATAGCTAGTAATTAATCAGCATTATTCATGGAAAAACTTTGTAGATGGGCTCTGAAATTGGATTGTTCTAGTGAACCCTGCTAATGTGGCAGATCTACACAATCCTGTCCAGAACTCCCTGAAGATTTGTGCTTTAAGGGAGAAAATGCCTCCTGCTCTGCACATAGGGTTCCTCTTGGCTACCTGCCTTGGAGGGAGAAACGCATACTGCCTTTTATGATTTCACCGCTAATCATCGGGGGAGAGGAGGTGGAGGGAAAAGGCCCACGACTGTCATCATCTTCACTCCATCCTTTGAGGAATATGGCAAGTTCTGCCATGTGTCCACAGAGGAGAGGACTCAGCCTCATGCTCCCGCACAGACTCTCCGTACTTTGTGAAGGGGCAGATCTGCCTAACACTGTATTTGTGTGTGTGTGTGTGTGTGTGTGTGTTGCTAATTTGGGAGTACTCCATACTGGAGCATAGCTACTGACATGATTATGCTTTCCTATAGTGCAGCAGCTCAGTAGACCCACAGTCTGACAGTGCCCAAATGCCAGGCAAACAATAAAGGTTCTGCTTCGAATTTCCGTTGTTCAGGAAAATTTCAGGCCACTGGAAGATGTGATGGTTAGCTGTAATAGCTTCCTCATAATGCTAAAACTTTTTTTTTTCTTCTTCTTCCCATACCACCTGTTGAAGAGTGGCAAGAAAGTTTAGGCAATAGCCTTATTGTTAAGTCATCATCAGAACGTACTGCAATGTTTAAAACGAAAGCAGGAATTAAGGAAAAGAAAATGAGCCAGAACAGTGTATGGATTTTATAAGCTGTCAGTCCCTGGTTTTATCATTTCAGGTAAAGGATGATGTTTTCATGAGAATCCTGGAGATGGCATTGATGAAAACTCCCTCTTCTTTGAACAGCTTTTAAAATTTGATTATAGTGCCAACACAGGCACCCCATAAGGACATGTCACAGAAATATTTCTTTTCAAATATTGCTCAAAATAGGAAGAGAGACATAGAAATTACACTAGACTATGAATTTAGGAAGTGATCAGAATACAAGAAGGTACCTTTATATAAGTGAATCTTAAAATCTTTTTCAAGATTGATTTTATTTTCAAATGCTTTGAGGCATGGATTTATTTCTTTTTAATTGAACTACTTCCAGAAGAATTCCCTCCTTTAAATGACACTTGTTTGAATCTCTTGTGTGTTATACTAAAGGAAGCATTTAATACACCACTTATTTTTGCTTTGTATATAATTTAGTTTATTATCCTTATTGCCTTACTTTCCAGAGCTGAGACTCAGAGATTCACAAAGTCTGTCTGTGGGTTCCCTAACTTAGAAAATATCAAATGCAAGTGGAGCTATGATGAAAAAGAGCAGGAAAAGTTTACTCCTTTATTTTCAAAGGAGGTATTCTTGGAAGTCAGTAATCAATTATATTAATTAAATTGAATATTCTTAGATGAGTTTTTTTCCTAAAAAAATTTCTTCTATCAGCCACCTGCAGAGTAGATGGAATTGGCCCCTAAAACTCTTTGGATTAATAATCTTTGCCCCCCTTCCTTTTTTTTTTTTTTTTTTCCAGGAGGGATCCAGGTCTCTCTCCTTTCATGAGGACAGAAAATAAAACACTCATTACAGACGGTAATGCTTGCTGGGTGGCTTTCAGCATATGGGTTGGCACATTTAGTGATCAAGTAGAAGGACCTCTGCTCCCAAGGGCATTTGGCTATGCTTCATCATTTGAAAGATGGAAGAGACAAATAAATAGGACTAAACCTAAGTGAGAGATGAGAATGAGTTAAGACAAACATGTCAGAGCCTTAAAAGGGGAAGATGATACGGAATAACCAGTAGCTGAAAAGAGGAAACAAAGCTTACTTTCTTCTTTTTAAAAAAAAGAATAGAACTTAAAATGGAATAGTATAGAGCAGAACTTAATATGAAAATTTTTTGAATAATTATTTTATAGTATGAAGTAAAGGCAACTATGCACCTGGAAGGTGCAGACATGAGATAGTAAATTTTTTCTGGTTTATTTTTATTGTGCTTTCCTCCTAGACATCCTTTTAGCTCTGTAGAAACTGACATTCAGTTTGAGAGCACTTACAGAACTCATGACACTCCAGTGTTAAATACCTGGAGGAAAAAAATCAGAATACTGGTGCTTATATGTTGCCTAAATAAAACCCAATATTAACTGAAGTACATGCATGTTTTTCCAGTGAATAAATATCTACAGCTTCTGTAGTCCTGGTCTATAGGGAAAAATCTATTGCTCTCATTTTTAATTGCAACTCAGTGTAGTCATCAAAAGAAAAATTTGAAACAGCTGATAGCAAACGGAATATTGCATTTTCCCACTTTTCCTGGTAGTCCTTAAGCAGTAAATTGTTAATTTTTTTCCTAACTGTCTTGATCTAAATTTTAGTGGCCTTCTGACCAAAAATAAAAGTTTCTGTGCTTCTCAGAAAGTTAGTAAAAAGTATTCCTAATGGAAAGAGTTAAATGACCTAAAATTAGTGGTCAGTGCCAGACCTGGTTTCTGAGATTGTTTCTGGTGTTAGATCTTACATTTTTCTTTAACAGTCAGGGTGTCTAAAATCAATTTTTCTGAGACTTCCCTTGCTTTTTTTTCTAGTGTCTTATATCTCAGTGGACAGGATTCAGGATTTTTAGGATGGATACAAGAATAAGCCTTCAGGCCCAACTTGATAGTAATGCAGGTGCTGCAGAAATGTGTTTTAGAGCTTATTCAAGGGTAGCCTCTTGCTATTCATGTTAGTATAACACAACACAATTAATTTTATACAGGCTATCCGATAAATCATCTGGGATCACAAGCCTCTCTTCGTTTTCGCCTGATGCATAATCTGGGCAAGATCTTCCTAGTAGTTGTTGAAAACGTCTAATGCCTGTTCACATGAATCAGAGTTTGGGGTTCAGGGCTTCCACGTTCATGTCCTTAGGCAGAAAAGTACTCTTTCACTTCTCAGTCATTAATACATTCTTTCTGGCTACAGAGCCGGGGTTTGGGCAGTGGGTTTCTCATTGACAGCACTGCATTGTGTATTTCTGTAATTTCATTTTCATTTCCACTCGCAATTCTAATTAGATTCTGGTGATGCTTAAGAATAGGAAGAGACGGTGTTTCTCTAAACAGTATCTTGCCTAATGCGGAAGGTAGTCGCTTTTTGTCATGCAGCATTCAGCATATGTGCAAACAGATGTCTTTCATAAATTGTCATTTGCCAAAGTTAACAAAAACTGTGCTAAAATGAGCTTGGGAAGGGCTGTAAGGAGAGAATTGCAAAGCCTGGGTCTGGGAGTGTTAGAGCGCGCAGCGCTGACAGCAGCATGCTCCTTAGTACAAGTTTCCAGGGAGTGTTTCTTCTTTGAACTGACACAGCAAAGTCTCCAGGTCTGAGAGAGGTTTTTCCAGCTGCTCTGAAGTAGCGTTACTTGCCGGATACAATGTCATACCCAGGGGTTAGTGGTCCACCGCACCCACCTAAGAGGACTCACTACTGATGAAATGAAACGCTTAGAGAAGCATGAGATGCAGGGCTTTTTCTGATATTTTGTCTCAGCTAGTGTGGTTAGAGAATTTCTGCAGCCCAGTGCAACGTTGCCTTGCGCCACTGCAACTTTCTTCAGAGCAAAATATTGGTGAAATCCTCTAATTTCCCTCTGCTTGCAAACTGGTGTGAAGCCTGGAATGATTTGCCTGCTGGAAGAATGTTGACTCTAGAGTGGGAGTCGGAGGGACTGCAAACAGTGGGTATTGTTGTGATTATATTTGCATCTCTGAAGCTGCTTCATTTGCTGGGACTGATTGATTTTTCAGAAGGTAAAGTGGTCGCTCATAGTTCGTGCTGTTTGTAGGTGTGGTAGCTGATCTGCTAAAACAGCCTTAGCTAGCATCGAGTATAAAAGCTGTGAAATGAAATGCATGAAAAGTGAAAATAACATTCAGGCTAAAGATCTGGGTTGGTTCCTGCTGCTTTTACTTTGTTATTGTAAAACAGAGGTAGATGTTAGCATAACATTTGTTTTTTTTGAAGTGGATTGCCAAGTGCCGGAGTGGATATTTATTAGAAAGAATGAAAACAATGGACGTAGGCATATCTGTCAGTTGCCTCTGAAAGCTGTCCGCTGCTGGAAAACTTAATGCATTAAGTGTATCTTAGTACAGTTCACATTTATATCATACTTTGTTCTTCTGATTTATGATGAAATTAGAGATTTGTACTGTTTCAGTATCTGTGTTTTAAAAATCATTTTCGTGGATAAATGCAGAACACTATTACTATTAGGATAAGTAATACAGCTACAGTTTTAGAAACTAGTCTGCTTGACACCTTTCAAAAAAGCCATAGATGTCAGCATTAAATATGGGCATTTTAAATATATATAATGAATATATGTTTTAAAATTCCTATTTGCTTGCTCAGACTCATGTCTGCTCTCTACTGTATGGGTCATATCATTTCATTTAATCTCAAAGAGGGCTTCACATTAAAATGAATAGTTTTTTTGTCTATACAAATTAAATTTTTTCACATTGTATAAAATAGGCTATTTCAGTTCAGTTATAAACAGGATCTTAGACAGTCAACTTTCTAAATTTCCTCCTGTATAATGTTGTAGTAAACAAAGACTATTCACTCGCTAAAGCTCAACAAAGACTTGCTTTTGTCAGTGTGCTTGTGCCTGTGAACCCAAACCAGTCCTTTCTGCTGGGTAACTGCTTTCAGCCGGAGTCACAGAGCCAGAGAGCGCTCCAGTTTTCTGAAACATTAACTTTCTGTAGTAGAATTGAATCTTTGATGGATGTAGATTTGCATCATCACCTCATATACCTGCTCAACCTGCAGATAAAATTTGAAATCTTTAACACAGCACTTTTATATGTTACTAAACTAGTGAAATAAATCGTCCTTAAAACCATGTGGTGAGAATATGTAACATTTGCTGTTACTACATAATCCATTTGTTATGGACTTGTGAAATTACTTTTTGAGTTCTAAACATAGGAGTAATTTTTCCCTCATGACAATGCTAACTTCTTGTTTCTTTATGCTCTGGATGTGCAGCATTTAAAAACCTCTCTTACTAGATATGTGTCAACTCCAGCTTCGTAATACACAGTAATAGGTAACTATGAAAAAAAAAAGATAAAATGCAATATTGGTCTTTCTGGAAGATATGCGGTTACACCCCATTCTTAATTTCTTGCAAAATCCTATTGTAATTAAGTTTGTGAGGAAATGTTGTATATAATTTCAAATACATTAAATCATCCTTCAAAAAATCTCGCTCGTAAAAATTATACCAATTTTAATACAAACAATAGGTTCAAGCTGATATATCAGCTGAAGTATAACTTCTTTGGGTTAACACTGATTAGCACTATGGTATTTCCATACGTAATAATGTAGTAGTTTCACTGAAAACTACCTAACTACTGTATCTAAAAACAGTATCTAAATGTAAACAGATTGAACACGATAAAGTACAGTGGAAATATGTAAAGCATCTCTAGTGTGAATAGCTCTGGTAGCTGGGGGATTTCTAATTTCCTTAAGACTGATCCATACTATTTTAACTCTGCCATGTTTGGGCACTGCTGATACAATTAAATAGGAATTCTGCCCAAATGATTAAGGAATACTTTGTAGGATATTCACAATAATGATCTGATCTGTTGAATTCAAGGCCAAATTTGCTGTTGATTTGCAGGGATACTCATGTTTGAATGACCAGCGTTGATCCTAAAAATGGGCAATGAGCCCTCCCTGTCTACCCCACAGAAGCAGGACATGAGCCCTATGTACAAAATGGACACTGCCACAAATGCCTCTGTATCTATAGCTAGTTAGGTTTTGTAAAGCCTTAACATACTTGTCTCCTCTATATCGATTCATTCTGAAAATGTCATTGATATATAGGGCAGCATACTTTTTCTGATGCTTGCCAATAATGGACTCAAATTACAGCTAAAGGACAAACTCTTAGCTAGTAACATGTTACAACTCCACTGATTTTAGTGAGGTGATAATGATGTCTTATGGCAGTTTCTACTAGCAGACTAACTTATCCAAGCCCAAACTAAGAGTCAATGGCAAGTGGGAACAAAACTAAAGTGATTTAGCCCTCTGCAAAAGAATCATGAGCTAAGTAATCTGCGTGTTTCCATCCTTCCAGTTTACTTTTCCTCTTTGTCCACGGTTGTGTGCAAAGAACTTCAGCTTCAGTGCTCCTTAATCTATTTGTACTGTGAAAAGGAAGCAACTTGCTTACTGATTATTTGTATAGTCACTTATAATGAGATATAAAATAGCCTAACTTTGGTATTCCAGACACTTTCAATATTATTTTCAAAAAGATCAAGAAACACCTCAAAATAGTAGCACCTCTGAAGAAAAAATTCTTCATCACAAATACTGGATATATTCTAGCCAGTAGACTACTTCTCCATACACTGTCACTTCTGCTGGGAAAAAATCCTTTCAATTGACCAAGCAAAAAGATAGGTCATTTACTGTGCTATGGTGGACAACCACCCTCCTTTATTTTACATAGCAAAAGGGCTTTGGTGAAGAAACCTTGACTGCCATCTCTCCTCTGTGGGAAAGGAGAAAAATCCAGGTAATCTGCTTGGTTGTTTTACAATGTCCAGCATTCAGCAGGGTAGGGAACCTGATTTAATCTGGCATCCTAGCCTAGGAACTATATTCTTCTACTTCCTCCACTTTCCAATAAGCAGGAAAGGGTGGTCAGGAAAGGCAGAAATCTGACTTCCTGGGAGCTGGCAAGCTGTTTCCATTGTTAAGGATAGAACTGAATCAATATCACTTTTACTAGACATGAGTGTGACTTTTCTTTTTCTCTCTTTCCATTACTTTGAAAGTGGTTTGACCATGATCAGTATCTTCCCTCTAACTTCCTTGCCTGAAACTTTTACTGCTGGACAGCTTGCCTCCAAAACTTGTATTTTATTACTCTGCTAGAGGGGAGATCAGAACTGGAGCAACTGCAAGTCTCTGCTTCCCCAAAGATCAGAATGGTAAAAGTAGCAGCACCAGATATAGAGAAAATCCATCCACCGGAAACTTGCAGGGGAAGAGACTGGCAAAATAAAGGATTTACTATGCATTTGTGTATGCAGAATATCTTCCACATGGTAGATATATAGGGAGGCTGCGTGAATATGTGAGAGCAGTCTTGCATACATCAGGGGACAGTGTAAATCAGTCCTTATAAGGACCAACTTTGTGTTACTTCCTTCCTCATTTATTACTCATATTTTGAGGTCTAATACTTCATATAGAAATGTTTTTCCTTTGCTTGTGGATGTAATTAGCCAGTGTTGCAATCTATTCTAAACCCTGCTATTCTCTCTCTTTTCTTTCCACTAATCTCTAACAGTTTTCAGAGCTCATTGTTATCTTTCAAATGTTTATCCAGATATACACTTCATTTTTGATGTGTGAACGCCCCGTGAACGCCCCACGAACTCAGTCTTTGGCTGGTAGGATCCACTGATTGTGCTCTCTATCTCTTTCTACTCAATGGGTCTACAAAGGGCTGAGTAGAACCACTTGGTCTTCAGTTTCTCTTACCATAATGCAGAACTGAAAGCAGTTCATGTACAGCTATCAGCAAACATATTTGAGTATAAAGTCAGTTTTAGGAGTAAATGGAGTAAAAATGAGTGGTACAGGGAATGATATATTGCTGACAAATAATCTGTTTTGTACTTTTCTCAAAGAACTCCAAAAGCAAAGATTTCATAAGCAGTGTGTCTTCCTGCATGAGGGTGATAAGAATTGTACAAATTTGAACATTCTTCTAATGGTGCCCTGGTGACTGTACTATAAGTCCAGCTTCCAGCCTCCTTTGGTGCTTCCTCTTAGAAATCACCTTTGTTGTGGAGTGATGCTACATTGCATCCCATTTGGCTGACAAACGTCAAGGTAACAAACATACTAAATGGAAATACATGTCCTCTTGCCTTTCCTCAGCAGCTGCATATGACATTGGTTGTGGTCCTTCTGGTATCTGTAAGCTGTTCAATTTTCACACGGTAAAATGTCCATTTTCTACTTTTCTTTTTTCTTCTCCAGGTACGCTTGTAGGATTGTGAGAACTGCTTTATTCTGAGTAATCCACTATCAAATGCCTCAAAAAATTCTGTTCATGGATGTTGCTATCTCAATGCCTACTCATAGTGTCAAGGTAGATAGTACTGTTAAGTTTCCTGTGATCATTAGTGAAGCTGCCATGCCAGAAATGAGGACAATTTCTTTAGCATCAAATATATTAGCACCTACCCAAATAGACTTTTTTTTTAACCGATTATGGTTAAATGAAGTATATCAGGTTCGAATATTGTTTTTCAAGAAGCATAACTCTTCCCCTCAAGGGTGAACCACTGGATTGCCATTTTGGGGTGCTCTCCCAACCCTCTTTGTAAATCTTATAAGCGATATCTGTTCCTCTTATGATCAGAACTCATTTTCATTTGTCCAAACTATTTACTGATTGCTGATGATTACTGGCACGAGTATGTTTCAGTATGCTTGTGTTGTTTGCTGAAATTTAATAGATTTTCTGACCAACTGTCACATCTAGCTCAGGATAGTTGAGGATATTTTATTTTCTCTTTGATGTCTCTCAAAAACAAGGCTATTCCAGCCTTGGGAAGCACCCTCTTGACTAAGAACATCATTTTTTTTATATAACAGAAGAATAATCTTAACACAGTTTTTTTGAAACTGAGGGTTTTGTTTTGTTTTTACTTCAGTAGTTTTCCTACCTGGACATAACGTGTAGAGATGTAAGATG